GCATCTACTGACCTTTAGAGCCTGGTGGCTGTCTTTGAAAAGCTTTTCATTGTTCAGACAGAATTTGGTGCATTGTTTTAGTTTCAAAGCTGCTTTCCTTTTCCTAACTTTCCATGAGCTCCCAGCATGAACGTTGTCCTTCACCTCCCATCCCACCATTATCTGAGATCTGTGCCATGTTCTTTTCTAGCTTCCAATCTTCTTACCTTATCACATGCAGCAGCCTGCTCAATGAGCTGCATTAAGTTATTCAATTCAGTGATTGCTTCTCATTTCCTTTTGTCAATTGTCATGTTCTCTTCTAATAGAATAATTTAGCAGAAAAGGTTGCAACTTAATTTTTAGCCAACTCATCTCCCTTTTTTAAAATTTCTGGGTTTCTTTCAACTCTTGTATGATATCAGGAAAAGGGAAACCAAATGCTGATGTGACTTCTCAGATAAGAGCAATGTGTTGTGGCCACACTGCTTTCATTTCCCAAACTGCCTGCCTTTCCAGTTTGCAGGGCTCTGTCAGTGGTGGACACCAGTGCCCTTGGTTTTCTTCACTCTACCTGATTCTCTTTCCTAACACTTTGATCTTCTTTCCTGGCCTACTGTGTTCTCCCATCCAGGAGCTTCCTCTAGCCTTTCCTCATAGCTTGAGTTTATTGTGCAGCCTCTGTCCCAGGTGTTGATTTTAGGTTGTTGACATTTTCACTTTCTAAGTTCCCCTTCATAACCACTCTTCCAATGTTTAGGACCATTTTGTAAGGGGTTCAGTTGTATGTCACTAACTCTATCAGCCTCCCCCCCCCCCAATCTGTTCTAAAAAAGGGATATAATTACAAGGTGGCTTCATGGTAACAGAAGTCTTAAGGACAATAACTGTGAATTCATACAAGTTTTATTGGGAATATCCATGTGAATGGAAATAGAGGAACTTTAGATTCCAGTGCTTCCTGAACCAGTGAATCCTTCTATAGACCAGTATCTGATGGTGCCAGGAAAAACAGGTGTCTGTGTTTCTATTTTCCCATATGTAAGGTTGCCAGGACAACAGCAGTCCTTGTACTGCTCCTGCCAGAGTTCATGCAATGGGAAGAAGCATCAAGTGAAATAATTTTGATCTGCACTCCAAAAAGCATGATGGGCCCAAGTGCATGACTGAAGAGAAAAGAAGTGGAAATTTCGCCTTTGTCTTTAAGAAATAAAATGGTTCCTGGTAGGTTTTCCCTGATCATAGCTTGGGATAAGAAAAATCAATAAACAATATTAAGATGGTACTTATACTGCTTGGACATGTGATGCCATTCCACCCCAACCTGCATGGGGTGGAATGGAAAAAAAGGGGCACTTCAAACATCTGTTCCCTGAACTGTTTCGTTCTTTAGAAGGGCTTGGGTATACAAATGCGTCAAGAAAGTTCTACAATAAACAAATAATTCTTTTAAGCCTGTTTGCATCAGTGACCAAAAGATGTAATGAAAATTGTCAACTTTTTGTTTGTGCAAACAAGCCATTATGCATACCAAATTCCTAAGGAAATCAGTGACAGGTAGCAGATCAGATTATTATTATTTTTGAAAGTACTTCTCCCTATGCTCAACTGAAAAAAAAAGCACCAAGGACTTTTCTTTTGCCAGTCTTTGTACATAGTTCACATGCATCATTTCATAGTTCTAACTGGACAAAGGACCTTGATCTGTCTGTGCATGTAAATTGGCTGGACTCTTGGTTTGGCCAGAGCTGCTGCCAAGAATCAAAGCACAGAATGGTGTTTTTGTTTCTAAATCAGCATTCTTTGGCAGCTGTTCTAGGCCCAAGATCAGAACACATTCTATGTGTGGAAAAGCTGTGAAATTATTCACAATATGTGTGACCACACAATTTCCCCTCTGTCATAAAGGTAGAACACAGGCTCACCCATTGAAGCTGCTTGTAAATGGACTGAACGCTGAGAACAAATGCTTTGTTAAACATTAATTGATGTAATGAATTCAGTACTGTACTGTGGTAGCTGATTATTTTTTGGGTTGCTTAGGAGAATGAAAAAATTATTGTAAAAATGAATGGAGAGTAAATCTAACTTATGGTTAATTAGCCACATGATAATTAAAAGGACCTGTATATACAGTGGTTGCCAGTGTAGACAGTGAGGGATTCTGGAGGACAGGGTTCAAATCTCCACTTGGCCATGGAAACTGACTGGGGGAGCAGAACTGGTAAAACCACTCCTTAAATATCTCACTTATCTTGAAAACCCTGTTAGGGTCATATTAGAAGCTCGGAATAGTCTCTGTGAATATATTAAATTCATGATCTCTACTTGGAAACACACAGAAGCCACTGGCTACTTTTGGAAATAATACTTGTCTGATTAAGCAAGGCAGTTTCTAAATTTTGAGAGCCAATTCTTACATCACTGATCAACGTGTTTCAGGATCAATTCCCCACCTTTAAAATAGAAGCATCGAAACCTATGATTTAGAATTTTGCAAACCTTGATTGTTAATTGTATCACTATTTTTTTCTAAATCCTTAACCCTTTACAGATTGGGCTTCACTATATCTTGAAAAAATATCATGTACATAGATGCAGAGGCAGGCACTAAAACACTAAGAAGAAACAAAGACTATAACGATGGAATAGCAGTGGTGCTATAGAGATTAAGGGTGTGCTTCTGGATTCCTCTGTGAGCCTTGATTTCAAGGTCTCACCAGTGACCAGCATTGTGTTTGCACAATTAAAACTATTGTGCCAGCTGTGCCTATATGTTGGAAAGCCTGACTTAACTATGGTGAAACATGCCTTGGTTACCTCCCATTTGGGTTACTGCAATATGCTGTACATTGGGCTGCCTCTGAAGGTGGTTTGGAAACTTCCACTGGTGCAAACTGCTGCAGCCAAACTTTTGATTAGGGCTGGTTACTGTGATCATATGACCCCTCTGTTACAACAGCTTCATCGGCTGCCAGTTCATTTCTGGATCTCATTCAAAGTGCTGGTTGTGACCATTAAAGTCCTCTATGGCTTAGGTTCAGTCTATATGAAATATTTCTCTCTCTACAACCCCCGTGTAAGATATTCACCTAGGGTATTCACCTGAAAATACAGTGTATGATGTTATGTATGGAATAAGATCCTCAAGGCAGTATCTTCTCTCAGTCCACCATTCCCATAAGCATGTATGAAGAGGACCAGAGAGAAGGCATTTTCTGTGGCTGCTCCCAGACTGTGGAACTCTCTCCCTTGGGAGCTGTGGTTGGCCCTTTCTCTCCTTTCCTTCCACCAGTAGCTGAAAATGTATTTGGGGAACCAGGAGGCAATTGCAGTGGGGAATTTTAAAATTTATACCTTTCCAAACTTACTGTATATGCTAAGCTCACATCTAGTTTAATCCATAGATGACCTCATACACTGTATTTTCAGGCGAATACCTTAGCATTGAGGCCTTAAGACAGTTATCATTTGCCTAAAATTGCAATGTAAAGTCTAACAGATAGTGACAAATCATGCAAATGTAACCTGTGCCCCACACAGAAATAATTTTCAAAGACTGGCTGTGGCTCCCTGCTGACTACATGTGTGAAATGGCTCAGAGGGGCATTTATAATGTTTATGCAATATAGAAAGCAGAAAGGATCTATTTTTAAATCATATACGTTTCAGCCATTCCTCATTTGAATTACAAAATATATGGAACCTAAATCCAGTGAAGTCATCTGTTGAGAAATAGCCTTTGGGATCACAAATTTGCCTGCCAGTCATTGATTTTCAAGTTAAATCTTCTTTTATCTTGTTATGTCATAATATATTTCCACATTTCTCTACCCAAACCTTCAGATAAAGAAGCCTGATTTTCTGAAACATACACAGTAAAAAAAAAAAGGTTCCCACTGACATAACCACCAGTTTTCTGAAATGATGTTAGATCTGCACTCATCATGACTCTACCTCTTGCAAGATGATATGCAATGGGAAATGCAAAGCAATGCTCAGGAAACATCTGGCCAACCTTTTAATTCTCAAGCAGGTCACTGGCCATTTTCAGAGCTGATGGAACAGAAAAGTGTAGGAAGAGAGACCCTCCAGTATTGAACAGCTTAGCAGTCAGCTAGAGAGTACCAGGAAATGTCTTCTTGCTGGCTTTTTTTTTTACAAAGGGTTGCTTCCAAATTGTAGCATGTGGTCACAATTTTGAATGTTCCAGTGGAAGGAATGATACTGCATATAATGCTTCAAAATTAGCTGCAACAATAATAGGAAGCAGCTCCCTAGAAGACTGGTAGAAATTGCTCTTTTAAAGGCATTTAATGTTTTGATAATCTCTGTGGCCTACAACATGATGGTAAGAAAAGAAAGAACTACTCTTTCAGTAAACGATTTCATTAAATTTGACACAGTACACATATTTCATGTCACTAACTAGTGGAAAAGGAGATTAATGAGAAAAGCAAAGGGATGTAGCAGGCCTTCACAAATTGTGACACATTAAGCCTAACTGAGCATATCAGACATGTAGGAAAGTCCACTAAGCTCAATTATCCTCCTTTTCTGGTTAGCTTGCTGGCTCTCACAGTGGACTGGGAAGGGGGAATCACAAGCACTTGTCAGGGGATAGTACATGGTTGATGGGCTACATTTGGCTTTGTGGGTTACACAGTTTACTAGCCTAGCAAAAATAGAGGGAAATGTCTCACTGTTATATATATTTATAAATAATTAGGAAACAGAAATTTTCTGCATCAGTCAGGAAGGAAGAGGGATATATATCTCTTGTCTAATCCTAAAACATAAGGATGAGGAATTTCAACTCCTCACCAGCAAGGAGAATAAGAAATTAGATGGCTAATCAGATTGGAGGATCTATGTATATGTACCACCACTCTAATCAATGATTTTTAAATGAGGGTGGGAACCCCGGAACCCCACCCCCCAAAAAAAACCCCAACCTATAACTGCTGAAGTGATCCTGAAAGCCATCAAATGTAAAAATGGAAGCACATTGAATAGTGGAAAATGAAAACCAGAAAGTTTAATATGTTTTACTGTCATATGTGTTGGGACTTACATGGATCATGATTACCATCCCAGAGGTCAGATGTTATTCAGTGTTATGTCATGACTGATTATCCATGCCAGTATCCATCTTTGGAAGATATACCGTTAAACCATTAATTTTTCCAGAGGTCAGATGTTATTCAGTGTTTTGTCATGACTGATTATCCATGCCAGTATCCATCTTTGGAAGATATACCGTTAAACCATTAATTTTGATTGAATTCATGGGGAAGTTTATTTCTTGCGATAAGTGTGGCAAGCTTTCTGCATGTCTTTTAAGAAGTTAGGCACTCCAGTCTGCAAAAAGAATGGCAAAAACAATTACTGTATGCCTATCCATATTATAGCTTATGAAGTAACTACCAATTTTCCACTGATAACATTATTTTTGTGTCTTTCAAACCATTATAAAAACCTACATTAAAACAATCATATTCCACCCACTAGCTTAAACAAGCATCATATTTGTTGAGGGGGGCAATCAAATTTCGCTTTACAACATCCTGATTAATGTGGCAATATGGGATCTGATGCCTATCCATATTATTGCTTATGAAGTAACTACCAATTTTCCACTGATAACATTATTTTTGTGTCTTTCAAACCATTATAAAAACCTGCATTAAAACAATCATATTCCACCCACTAGCTTAAACAAGCATCATATTTGTTGAGGGGGGCAATCAAATTTCGCTTTACAACATCCTGATTAATGTGGCAATATGGGATCTGAATGACTGTTGTCTCCTGTATACCACTGCAGCAACCGGCTACTGGCACTGAAATCTTTCAAAATAGTTTTATAGAAGTGACAACAATGAAACAATATGGCACAAGTCTATGAACACATACACCAAAAGCCACAAGAATGTCTTGGATATTTGATCTTTACTGATTTTAGTCTACCTCTAAGGACATGGAAGTGCTTTCCTGTGTTGCTGCACCCACACCAACTAAGCAAGAACTAGGCTATTCACCAAATCATGAGGCAGGCAAATTTTGATATGGCCTGGTACATTTGATTCTTGAAATGAGATAGATTTTTTTACCTATAACTGAGTGAGCATTTTCCTCTGCTCAGTGTGCCACAATATTGCAATACAGGTTTGCTTTGTGCACATTCTTTGCCTTCAACTGCAGTATGTGTTCTATATAAGCAATTATGTGTAGCAGTTTCCATTCCCCTCGACTGACTGACTAATTTGTGTTGCACCCTTCCCACTCCAGCTGCCTTAATGCTGACTGGCCACAGCTCTCCTTAGGAGAGCTAAGCAGAAATTTCTAAATAAATGCCTGGATCACATAAAAAGAGCAAACCTATCTGCACCTATAAAACAGTAGCCCCTGACAGGGAACCAGAAAGGTGTGAGTAGAAACACTTTTAAGGCTGGGCTGGTTCATCCTGGCACTTACATAGTCTAGTCGCTGGCAAAAGAAACAAATCAGCCCATCCCCAGAGCAGATCAAACAGAGGGATGAATGCCTATGTAGTCAGGCACTGACTTTTGAGAGGGTCGATGAGAAGAGTGTTCTAATAAAACAGTGTTAAACAGGGCAGTGTTAAGCAGGGTATTACTGTGCTGAAAAAAAGAGAAAGGATGAAAGAGTGAATGGTGAATGAAGGAGGAGAAGCAGAGAGCTCTGCTTGAAGTGACTGTCCTCAGTGGTCCTTAGCCCTTGCTCTGAGATGAAGAGTTGTTTATTCCATTACAGAGAGTTAAATCTCTAAGTTGCTCTGCAAATTGAGAAGGTAAAGGGGATAAATAGAAAACATGAAAAGGCAAAAAAGATACTAGACAAATCCATAAATAATTATAATAGCAAGAACTGTTGGCCGAGTAGGTTTAAACTCATACTAAAATGCTTCTTTGTCACTGTTGGGAATGTTACATGGTCTGAATAACTCCGTGAGAGAAAGAGACAATTAAGTGTGGGAGACACTTCAACTGCCTTTGGAGAAGACAGGTCTGGGAATAGGACATGCAAATAGACACTGTAAAGAGTACTGCTTTACTAATGGATTTGGCTTTGGAATCACTTCAACAACTGACATGAGAGAAAAGAATGGCAATAAGGCGGTCTGAACTGTTGCTCTGTATTTTGTTCTTAATATTCTAGTATCTAGTTTTCCCAAGGGGGATTCAACCTAGTTGAATAATTGGTGAAACCAACTGAATTGATCCTATGGAGATTCCAGTACTCTGGTTACCTTAGTTGCCCAGTTGACCAGCCATGAAGGAAGCTTGCCACCAGGATCATCAAAATAGGTCATGAAAACTTTGAAAAGAAAAAAAAATTAAAAAGCCATTCAGATGTTTGTATAAAGCAGTTATGTAAAGCCCCTTCACAAATACATTCTATTCAAACAAACTCATTTTCAGAATGAATGCTCTTTGTACTACCAATCAGAAAGTGCTGCACATCTAATCCTGTCCTTTTTGCCTTAACAGATTTTCCATTTTAAGAAAGGAAGAAAAGATGTTGGGTGAAGCCCACATACAATTCAATTAGCAAGGCAGAGTGGAGGTGTGACAGCGGCCTCAACAGGAATCAGTCTAAGCGCTTGATCACACAGGCCAAAAGAACCTGTTATACTTCTTTGGCTGTTGTTTAGATTGGTGGTCCCTAACCTTTTCCAACCACAGACTGATTGGGGGTGTGAGGCCACAGACCAGGGGTTGGGGACCATTGGTTTAGAGCATTTCCAATCACACGATGCACGGCCATGATTGACTTATTTTCTCAGCATTAAATAGTCCAGATGTTCTTAGACTACAACTCCCAGAAATCCTGAAAAGTACAGCTAGTGGTGAACACTTCTGGGAGTTTTAGTCGAAGAACATCTGGGAACCCAAGGTTGGGAACCACTGCTCTACAGCACAGTCCTTAAAATGTGATAACCGTAACTGTACACAACTTTCTAGCTGTTGTCACACTATCTAATTATATAAAGGTTTTATGACACGGGCGATTTTATTTTGAATTCCTTTCCTAATGACCTTCAGCATGGAATTGTTTTTCTTATAGCAATCTCACAGTAGGCAAATGTTTCCTTCCACCAAACCCTCAAGATCCCTTTTGTAATTAGTCAGCACCAACTGAGACCACATTTACAGGATAGGAAACTAGGATTTCAATGGAGGGGTGGGGAGGAACTTTAGGAAAAAAGAAACTCACTGTCTTATAATTTGATGGGAAGCCCCCAGGCCAGATTATAAGACTGAGATCTACGAAACAGAAGTGGCAGAACAGTCCTCTTTACCTTCATGCTGTTCCTGAACCACTTCTTCATGCACTCTGAAAAGTGTCCGGCTGCACCTTCACACCATAATGGAGGCAACCTTTGTTAGAACTCATTCTTCCGTGTATCTTTGCAAGTCACAGGGAATCTTCATTACTTGCAAAGGTGCAGCTGGGCACTTTCTAGAGGCCACAGAGAACCATTGCAGGAATGGCAAGGAAGTAAGAGGGACTGCTCTTTGATAATTCCCAGTCCCATAATTCAGCTCGGGGGCCGGGGTTCAACCAAATTGTGGGGCTGCAAATTTGTTTGTTTTTTCCAAAAGTCCCATCCCTAGATTATAATCCTCAGTATGCATTAATTTAGAGAGATGTGGTGGCACTGCGGGTTAAACCATAGAAGCCTCTGTGCTGCAAGGTCAGAAGACCTAGAGCAAATCCATGCGACAGAGTGAGCCCCCATCGCTTGTCCCAGCTCCCGCCAACCTAGCAGTTCAAAAGCATGCAAAATGCAAAATGCGAGTACAGTGGTGCCTCGCTTAACAATTACCTCGTTAAACCGCTGTACGATTACTGTTTTGCGATCACTTTCGCGATCGCAAAACAATGTTTGAAAGGGGTTTTTTTTGCTTTGTGATGATTGGTTCCCTGCTTCGGGAACCGATTCTTCACATTACGATGAACTGAAAACAGCTGATTGGCGGCTGTCAAAATGGCCGCCCGTTGTGCAAAATAGGTACCACCATGGTGGGAAGGTAACGGCATTCCATGTCTAGTCACGCTGGCCACGTGACCACGGAAGATTGTCTTTGGACAAACGCTAGCTCTATGGCTTGGAAAAGGAGATGAGCACCGCCCCCTAGAGTTGGACACGACTGGACAAATTGTCAAGGGGAACCTTCACCTTTCCCTCTGCATTAATTTATACTTGCTTTTGATAAACCACTTTTGCAGTTTTAATACACATTTTTTTCAGTTCTGAGGGATTATTTTAGAAACAGTTCACTATTTATTCTTCTCTTCATCACTCTGAATGATTTGGTTATGAACAAGTCTAAAATAACAGATTCCAAATAGTTTTCTGAATTTATATTTATATCTGTTCACTGCCTATGCATTAATTTATACTTGCTTTTGATAAACCACTTTTGCAGTTTTAATACACATTTTTTTCAGTTCTGAGGGATTATTTTAGAAACAGTTCACTATTTATTCTTCTCTTCATCACTCTGAATGATTTGGTTATGAACAAGTCTAAAATAACAGATTCCAAATAGTTTTCTGAATTTATATTTATATCTGTTCACTGGAAAGTTAAGTTTGACTTAGAAATGTAAAATTGCTGCTTTAAGTTGATATTCCTATAAAGCTACTTATAGATTTCTTACCTTTGGATCCTTTCTTGCCATCGCTTTCAAATGCTACACCTTGTCTATAAGCTTTTACTCGAACAATACCAGACTTTTCTGGGAATTTATTAGTCTGCACACTTTTAGCCAATATAACATAGATCTTCCTCCCATCAACTTCCATATCTCGACGCTCACGAGTAAAAACATACTGTGTTGAAGTTGAAGAACTAAACAGTATTTTAAAATATTATGTATACAGTGGAATCAATATACTGTATATACTGATGCAAATACAGATTTCAAGAGGCAAATAGCCACAAACTGATGTGTTTACACTGAAAGGAGGATATCTTGGTTTTGAAAATGTGTAAAAACTAGCTTGCTTCAGGGATTATTAGAGCACTGGCTTGGGATTCAGGGCACCTGGGTTTTACTCCTCAGAGAGCCATAAAATGTAATGAGTGAGCTTGTGCTGGTCTCTGTCACTTAGCCTGCCCAACCTGAGAAGGTTGTTCTTGTGAGGAAGAAAAGCAGGGGGGTGGAGGTGAGAGATTCATGAACATTACCTTGAGAACACAGCAGGAAAAACAGGACAGAAGAAAGGAAAAAAAAAAAAGTGGGGGGGGGGATACAGTTCACAAGGATCCAAATCAATATGTCTTTTCTTTTAAAGGGGTTGTCCATCCATCATAAAAAATTTAGGTCCTAGAGACAAGCAGGAATCAGGGATGTTTTTACACTGAAAGGAGGATATCTTGGTTTTGAAAATGTGTAAAAACTAGCTTGCTTCAGGGATTATTAGAGCACTGGCTTGGGATTCAGGGCACCTGGGTTTTACTCCTCAGAGAGCCATAAAATGTAATGAGTGAGCTTGTGCTGGTCTCTGTCACTTAGCCTGCCCAACCTGAGAAGGTTGTTCTTGTGAGGAAGAAAAGCAGGGGGGTGGAGGTGAGAGATTCATGAACATTACCTTGAGAACACAGCAGGAAAAACAGGACAGAAGTGTAAAAGAAAAAAAGTGGGGGGATACAGTTCACAAGGATGCAAATCAATATGTCTTTTCTTTTAAGGGGGTTGTCCATCCATTATAAAAATTTTAGGTCCTAGAGACAAGCAGGAATCAGGCCAGAGTCCGTAGCTACAAGTGTTAAAAGTAAAGCTCCAATCAAAACTTGAAGGATACATCTCTGTTTGTTAAGGGAAATGGGAACTTCACTTCCCAGTAGATAGCTGGTCTGCCATCATGTGTTTTTTCACATATGTCTACAAATTAGAGAGGAAATGTGTTAGATGCATAACATGATTTATTTTATGTATCAGATATAAAGATTATCAAGCAATTGTTTCCTTAAACCTGCTACAGAAGACTCAGACATAAACCTTAACCATGTGCATTTCAGGCCTCAGCAAAGGTCATGTTCAGGTGCAGAATCCTGAGGAGTCGGTCAAAGTGGGCAACAGCTATACCGAAAGTCAAATTCTAGGGCTGCAATCACAGAAAGGAACAGGAAATTTAGGCATGGTTCTTAAAGGTATAATCCCTGAAGTTAGGGCTTTAAAGGGCAGCTTTTGAGGCTGGACACCTGAGTTTTCAGGCTGGCTACTATGTATGACAAAATGATACCTTCAAAGCAAAGAGATTAGTCAGCCAGGTTTGCATTGGGGAAAAAGTGCCAGGCAGACAGGAGATACGCTTATGGAACATGAATCCAATTTTGTTTAAGTTACACATACAACACATATGCATTCTTGGATACATTGTGCTGCTCCTGAGAACAGCAACCTTGACTCTTCTTCCTTTTTCCTCTACTCGATAAAAGTAAACTTGGGGTGCAAGGGGGCGTGGAAGGATGAGAAGTGGCACTCATGTTGCTCAAGCTGAGATGGTCCAGCTAGATTTGCCAAATGAAGGATTGTTTGGGGAAGCCTCAGCATCTGTAAACAAGACCTCTGCATTTTCTGTCTTTACATATGCTTCTCTCCCCCCCCCCAAATAATGGGGAAATGGCTGCAAGGAGGGCTACTGCAGTTAATATACATATAAGAAGGCAGAAATGGTACTTACGTTTATAAAAGAGCCTAATACAAATTGTTACCCTTGGATATTTTCCCAGAAAATTTTACATGGACTGTGAATTATTAGATGGGGGAAACATTTATGTTCCAAAATACCAATAGGACCCAACAGGATATCACATTTTCCACAAGAGGTCACTGGAGTATTAATTTGATGCATATTAATACTCCAGTGGACATCCCATTCCATTTCAATTTCTTAAGCTGCAAACAAAATCAAACTAAAAAGTAAAGGTGTGGGGGGAAATGTCATGTCTGATATTCTCTGATTCAGAAGCACCTCTTTAAAGAACAGGGTGTTTCATTTTCTTCTTTTCTTTTCTCCCCCCCCCCCGAAGTAAAAGCTACAGCTGGCTGGATAGCACCATGAGTTAGATAGCCAGCTACAAAGCCAGAGGCTGGAAGTTCAATTTCGCACTGTGCCTCTCTCAAGAAGAACCAGGTTGTATGGCCTTGGGCAAGCTGCACAGGCCCAGGGTGCTCCCAGAAGAAGGGAAAGGTAACTGAATATTCTCTACCTAGAAAACCCTGCAAAAGGTTCAGCACATTGTTTTTCTCAGAGAAAGGGAAGAGACTAAGGACAGTGAAGGGTTGCCTGGTTTGTACATACCTGTTATTTATTCATCCTACTGCCAGCTTTTGCTGACATATGATCTCTGGTATGTCTCTTGCAAAGCCATCTTTCATTATCTTACATTAAAAACAGTATTTTAAAATTGCCAATATTTTTCTAAACTCTCAAGAAATCAGGAATACTACCGTAATTGCCCAAATGTTGTCTATTTAGATTCAAAAAGAGACAAAAATATGGGGCAATAAGGCGTCATATTTACATTAGTAATCTGCCCATTGGTGATCTGCATGGACAGAGTTCCGACTCCAGTCCTCTGAAGATGCCAGCCACAGAGACTGGTGAAATGTCAGGAAGAACAGCCTTCAGAACATGGACAAAGAGCCCAAAAAACCCACAATAACCATCAGATCCTGGACGTGAAAGCTTTTGAGAATACAATATCTCTATTAATTGACAAAAGCAATCTACTGAAGTTCATGGGCAAACACTAGAATTCATTCATTCATTCATTCATTCATTCATTCATTCATTCATTCGATAATACCTAGGTTCAACATAAATACTGAAAAAAGTACTGGTGATTAAAACTGTATTCCCATGAATCAATATAAGGATGACTGCTAAAGAATCAAAAACAGCTGAATTCAGATAAGGAATTAGTTTTCAGAACTGACACTTTGGTCAGCACGCTACTGCATAAACATGGAGAAGAAGTGCAATCAAGGAAGCCCCCTTCCAGCTGTTGCAGGCTTCCCGTCACAAAACCCACTGTGCCACCAATCTTTCAACTATCGCACGCATGGGCAAACAACAGGGAGCCTGCCTGAGCAGGAAGAAGAGTTTGGCAGTTTCCCTTACACTCTGCATTTATAGGCAACAGGATACTTGTCATAGTTTCTTATCCAACAGGAGGAATCAGACGGCATCAAAGACATGGCCTTATTTTTCAGAAGAATGCCTTCTGAAAACAATGCATGCAATTTTCAATAAGCACTTCTGAGTACTATATATCTAGAAAACCCTGGAAAGAATCACAATTTCAGAATCAACTTGAGATCATATAATCTTTAGTACACAAGAAATATCCATTTAGTGCATTTTTCTTATTTCAAAAATAATACCCATGCATCTGAAATGTGAACAAATCTTTAAAATTTTAACAGTCAGGGAGGATGAGGAGGGGGGGAAAGAGTAATAAAAACGCTATCATTACTGTCTAATTACACTTTTAATTTAATACTAACCTCTAACAAACTGGTCCCATTTTGGTCTGTAGTTTAAATCCGTGTAGACATCGGCACACAGCTCTGGGGCACAGTCATTAAGAATACCATAGAGTTTATACTCATATAGTCCAGATTTCTATTTGGGGGGAAGAGAGAGATACTGCTCAGAGAGAGAATCAGAAGTACTCCACTCAGGTTTACTTCAGACATCTTTTGGAGAGCACAAGCCATGTCTAAGTATAATCCTTAATATTGCCCTGTTTCTATTTCCCCTAAATTTGAGTGCTTTGTAATGTTTGTTGCTAATCTGCTGCCTGAAGATCATGTCTTCAGTGGGCAGAATGGCAGCATTGGATATTGACCATAATTTTACAATATTTTGTTTGTATACTATTTCCTTTATGTATGAATCCTGCAAACTACTGCCATCCCCCCCCCTCGTTTAAGCCATCTTAGTGGGTTGCTTTGTTTTATTTTGTGTTTTTGATTGATATACCAGAACTTTCTGTCCAAAAAATCTAATAATTTCACCATACATTGTCAGCTTTCTCTCAGTGAAAGGGGTTCTTAAGAATTGTTCAGGGGGTCTGAAATTGATGGTTGTGCCTTACTGCTTTGGGGTTGTTTTTGTTTACCATTTTCAGTGTGGTAATTATTTGATCCTTTAAAATTACTTGTATACTCACCGTTTTTAAAACAATGATTTCACATACTGTATAACAGAAAGCATTATATCTAAGGCAATGACAAAATGACATTGAACAATGGCTGTGAATAGAATTTAAACTACCAAATCACCAGAAACTCTGTTCATACCAGAAATAACTGTGATTAAATCTAATCCTGCATTTTATGCTGAAATATTTAACAGAGCTTTATGACTGTGAACTTTTCTGCTCATTAAAAATCATTTCATCTTTCATAGCTGTCAACTAGGGCCTTTATGAACCCAACAAGAAAGGAATACATGACTCACAAAGCATTTTGAATAAGACATTAGATGTTTCCCCTTCCTTACAGTACCATTGCAAAAATTAATTTTGGCAACAAAGGTACACATCCACCCAATCCTACGCCCTGAGGCCTTTTTTCCCCAAAGATATATCAATTAGAAGTGACTCTTGAAATTTACTTCCTGCATAAACTCCCCTGAACTCTCCTATATTAAACAATTCCCTTATACTTACTGCAGGACATCACATGAACAATCTAGTCTGCCATCTACCACAAGCCAATGTCGCTGCAGCAGGCAATCTGTCCCATCAGATATATACAAAGCTATCTTCCAGTATTAAAATGACATGGATATGAATCCAAAAGTGAAGTTATAGTCCCATCCTGTATTAGTTAAGACATAATGGTTGAAATCCTGTTGCACACCTCCACATACACAAAGGGAATGATCAGTAAATCCCTGGTGATTAAAGGCAAACTGCTATTGAAATTGCAAAGGTAAAGGTAAAGGCACCCCTTGACATTTTTTTAGCCCAGTCATGTCCAACTCTAGGGGGCGGTGCTCAACCCATTTTCAAGCCGTAGAGCCAGCGTTTGTCCAAAGACAGTTTCCGTTGTCACGTGGCCAGCGTGACTAGAGAACATCGTTTTACCTTCCCACCGAGGTTGTACCTATTTATCTACTCGCATTTGTATGCTTTCGAACTGCTAGGTTGGCAGGAGCTGGGACAAAGCGATGGGAGCTCACTCCATCGCGTGGACTCGATCTTATGACTGCTGGTCTTCTGACCCTGCAGAACAGGCTTCTGCGGTTTAGCCCATAGCGCCACCACGAAGCCTTTAATCACTAGTGATTTGCTGCTGTTGCTGACATCATTACCATTGTACATGGAGAGCAGCACAACAGGATTTCAGCCAACATAGAAGCAGCATATTTTCACAGGATAAATACTAATTATCCACAATCAGTGACATTCCCCTAGGACCAAGCACAATTCTGGCCCATATGCATTCTCACAATGCTGTTAGGAGCTGTAGTATAGACTTGGAAAGGAAATTTAAGCAGTGTCTTTTACAAGTCTGTATTACTGATTGGCAGCTGAAACAAAGAAATATTTGCAGTAATACCAGGAGCTTCGCCATTCTGGTGGCAGTGCATTCCAGTGATGTCCATTCTTCCATTGTGGAAATGGAGCCTGATCCCAATAAAAGACAACATAGATTCCCAGGAGAAGCAGAAATCGAGTTGGGATCAAAACTTTGTGATTCAATAATTGAAATTGGAATACTGTATTATAACCTCCAAAATAATAGCGCTAATAAGAACAGACTAGCCTCCAGTTGTTTTAGACTACAGTTCTCATCATCACTAGACACATTGACACAGAATGATGGGTGTTGTTTAGCCAAAACATATGGAAGGCAGAAGATCAAGGAAGGCAGGAAACAGAGATGAGCACCGTGCCCTAGAGTTGGACGTAACTGTACTAAATGTCAAGGGGAACCTTTACCTTTACCTAACTGGGGAAGAAAGGAAGTTCAACTCTGAATAAATGTGAACAGGGACTACTAAGTATACAGGTCTAATCTGATTAATGTGACCATTTGAGCATCTGTACAGAACATCAGTTCAAAACACATCTCATTGTTCTTTATAAGCAGGGCAAGAATTTCAGAGTAGTGGCACATGGCTTGGAATAAAAAAAAATGGTTATTACCAGCCTAGTGTCTGCAAATTTCATCAGGGTCATTAAGTATGGCCATCCAGTGCTATAACAATTCCAGCATGGCCCTCAGCACTCCATACTGTGTACATCCTGCTCTAAATTGCAGCCATTCCGCCTCCACTTTTTGTAAATGGTACAGGGGAAAAATACAATGACTAATGGCAAATATTCCTTTTTAGTCAGGAGAACATCTTAAATGTTTTATTTTGAGATATATTCCAAAGCTTGCTCATGTACTCCAATTTATTCCATAACCAGGTGGATCAGATGAGCAAAGGCACCCACCCCCAATTACTGTATAGATGGCCCAAACATTAACCATGTGTTCAGTCGTTTAGTCGTGTCCGACTCCTCGTGACCCCATGGACCAGAGCACGCCAGGCCCTCCTATCTTCCACCGCCTCCCGGAGTTGTGTCAAATTCATGTTGGTTGCTTCGATGACACTGTCCAACCATCTCATCCTCGGTCGTCCCCTTCTCCTCTTGCCTTCACACTTTCCCAACATCAAAGTCTTTTCCAAGGAGTCTTCTCTTCTCATGAGATGGCCAAAGTACTGGAGCCTCAGCTTCAGGATCTGTCCTTCCAATGAGCACTCGGGGTTGATTTCCTTTAGAATTGATAGGTTTGTTCTCTTTGCAGTCCAGGGAACTCTCAAGAGTCTCCTCCAGCACCACAATTCAAAGGCATCAATTCTTCGGCGGTCAGCTTTCTTTATGATCCAGCTCTCACTTCCATACAACACTACAGGAAAAACCATAGCTTTGACTATTCGGACTTTTGTTGGCAAGGTGATGTCTCTGCTTTTTAAGATGCTGTCAAGGTTTGTCATTCCTTTCCTCCCAAGAAGCAGGCGTCTTTTAATTTCGGGGCTGCTGTCTCCATCTGCAGTGATCATGGAGCCCAAGAAAGTAAAATCTGTCACTGCCTCCATATCTTCCCCTTCTATTTCCCAGGAGGTGATGGGACCAGTGGCCATGATCTTAGTTTTTTTGATGTTGAGTTTCAGACCGTTTTTTGCACTCTCCTCTTTCACTCTCATTACAAGGTTCTTTAATTCCTCCTCACTTTCCGCCATCAGAGTGGTATCATCTGCATATCGGAGGTTGTTGATATTTCTTCCGGCAATCTTAATTCCGGTAAGCAGCAGTATTAGCCAAATGTATTTATATCCCTCAGAGGTAACTGCTGATACAGTACAGTATATTCAAATACATTGAAGAACAGTTTTCCTTCTACTTGAATCATTGGTCTGCATTCACATTAAAGAATAATGCATAGCAGGATGATGGTGAACCACAGTCCCCTCTACATTTGAATAACTTAATCTGCTCTATATATTTTCTTTGTATCCATCTATTATTTTGTAAGATAAGTAAGTTCTTCAACTACTACAGAAAGCTACAGAAAGATACGGAGACCCATGCAAATTCAGAACTGAGGACTGGGATTGTTACCCTCCCCCCCCCGAAAATAAGACCTAACCTGAAAATAAGCCCTAGTTAAGTGAAACCCTGCCCTCCACCATTATGCAGCAGGCAGAAGATGACATGACTGTATTTGAATAAATTTAGATGTTGTACATGAAAAATAAAAATAAAACAAGCCCTAAAAATGAAAATAAGCTCTAATGCGTTTTTTGGAGCAAAAATTAATATAAGACACTGTCTTATTTTCAGGGAAACATGGTAGAACTGTATTTCTTAAATCAAATTTGGCTGTCTTTTTCTTTTAGTTTATTCACAGTCCTAATCTCTGATATATTTTCAGGAGTAAAGGGAAACTCAGAGATTTTGGAGCATAGTGATAGTCCTCCTTGAGTCTTCCCATCCAATGGCTTCCTAAATTAGTAGAAGTGAAGGCAGGCAAAATTGCTTTTTTTTCTCCTAAGCACAGTTTTTTTCTGCTTGCTTGTTCTTGCTCTTGGACAGGAATATTGACCCTAAATCAGTGACTGAGTATTATCCTTTACTGTCAGGGATACTTTAGGGAAGCATAAGGAAAATACTCTCCCATTAGGACTGGTTTTGGATATAGGTGGGAAGCTAAAGAACATTCTGATTCTTCAAGATCTGTTAGCAAATGCATTGCAATCTCTGCTCACAAACCCTACAGTACCTTTTTTCTTAGCCTTTACAATACTGTATCTTAAAGAGGCTTTGTAGTGCACATAACAGTGATTAGCATTTTTACTCTCTATGGGGTAATGCTCATGGTACAGAAAGATGCACAGGCAAAGCGTTCCACCACAGATACCAAGTAATTCACTTCCACTAATTAAAACTAAATGCAGGTTTGGAAGAAAACAACACTTTGTAATTGTAGCACTCTGTATCCTGTAATACTAAATTACTGAGTGTTAATTCCAAATTCCTGAATGACTTCCATTAGTAACTTATATCACTTGCCAATACCAGGTTAACAGCTTGCAAATATCTTCTAATTATAGGTGTGCTT